TGAACAAACCCCTATATATACCAAAGCTGTCTTACCTGCAGCATCTCACGACTTTAACATCCCTCCACCACCACGTCACCTCGCCTTTTGCATTGAATTCCCAGGGGGAGCGTTCTGGGGCCGGGCTAGACACTTCGCTCGAATACCAATTCCTCTTTGTTTCCTGATAAGGGGAATAACTCGAGTTGGGGTGTCTCCTCGAGCTCAGAGCCCTCCCCCCGGACAGCACGCCAAATATGCTTTATAATTAAACGAATGCAAGTGTGAACTCGTGAAAGTGTGGATGATGGGGAAACTTAAATATCAACTCTTTTTTTAAGACATTACATATTAATCGTATTGATGGACATTACATATTTAGAACATCTGTGATTGGTCCTGGTAATAAGTAGACTATAAAGTTGCAATGTGCTACATTTCAGAGTTTGAAAACAAAGTATACTTTGTGCTTCAGTATGGATTTTTTTATTTTTGCTTTTTGGCCAAGATCAGTGGGGGGTCATGATTTGACCACTTAGGCCCCTGCTGGTAATTACTGCAGAGCAATTAATCATTTAACTTTTATGGCTCATGCAACTGGGTCAAAATCTGCGTGCCAGAAAAAGTACACATGAAGAATGACACCAGCATGCAGTTTGCATACAACTGGAGTAAATGCAGCTGCTGAAAAACAGCATGGAAATAAATGCGAATGCTAATGGACAGTTCTCTCAGGGGACGACCTGCTCTCTCTCAGGGGAAAATAGACTCGCTTTGGCAAAATATGGTGCAATGCGACCCCGACTTCATGCCACAACATAAATGCAAGCATAGTGTTCAAGTGACAACAGATGACATTTGCAATGGCTCAAAAAAACTCATTACTTGAGATGATGCCATGTTCATAATTCTACCCTTGAGGAGATTTGCCCTCTTAGTTGTTAGTGCCAAGTCCAGTTTTATCCAATAGGATTTGGCTATGGCTCTAATTGGCAAATTCCAGGAGGAACATATGGGCATTTGGTGTGAGATTGACCTGGACATCAGAGGGGGGCTGGGAGTAAAGTCATTATCTCAACCACCCGTCCAGGACTCTCCGATGATTTGCAGCAACTGGGAACGATAGAAGCACAAAAACAGCATCCAGCGGGTATTATCTGGGCCGGAGGGTGAGAAATCCTTCCTCTTTCACAACGTATGTCAGCCGTATTTTCTGACAGGCTAATCTCAGTAGATGGGGAAGGCTGCTTTCAAAGGCAGATGGGAATCTTGGCTCACAGCCAGGAATATTTCTTCTATTTTGATACAAATGTCCATGTATACTGATGAGGCGTGCTATACCTGATGGTGGAGAATTCCCTGTTGGGATCAGTGGAATAGCTTATCCCATTTCATATTCATGTACATGTCATGCATTAAATTAAATGGACAACCCAATTGGGTTTTTGAAACCAATTTGAGCAACATTAACATATTAATCTTTGTAGCAATCAGCTTTTGTTGGGATTCAGAATAACAGGGATTCTTAAGGACAGTTGTTCCAACAGTTCTTTTGTTCGGCTTTTCTACTTCTTTAAAACTATTACAAAATATTTAAAAAAGAAGATTGAGTGTGCTCCAACTATATGAGAGGACAGAAAGGCAACAGTAACTTCGATAACCACTTGTTACAAGCGAGGTATGCAGAACAGCATCTCTGAGTGTGGTTTATTTATAAACTTATTTTGAGAGGATCACGTGCTTATGACCAACACCGCTGGCTCCTCATTAGCTCCGTAATCTGCCCTATTAGATGATTAAGGAAGCATTATAAATATGCAAAGTTTTCTACTCCAGTTATCTTCATCTTGAAGCTTACCCCCCATTCCACCCCTACTTCCTCCCTTTTCCGATAGGGCGACACCGTGGCCCAGTGGCTAGCACTGTTGCCTCAAGAACAAGAACACCGCTGGTCCAACCTCCAATCCCCGGTTTCCTCCCACCGTCCAAAAACATAAACCATAGCCAATCGACTAAACCAAATTATCACCTAAGGGTGCTTTCACATCTACACTTTTGTTTCGGAACCTGTCTCGTTTGCCCAGTTAGCGCGGTTCATTTAGCATATGTAAACAGGGCAATCGCGCTCTGTTCTGCGCCAAAGTAATCGCTCCGAGATCGCTTGAATGAGGTGGTCTCAGCTCGATTGAAACGAACCCTGGAGCGGTTCGATTGCAGTGAGAAAGCGATCCGATCCGAGCGCGGTTATATCACAGTGTTGTATGGATATGTAATAGGCTTACGGCTATATGAAGAGAGAATTATGAGTATGGCGGGAAGTTTCGCGAGTCTCCGGATGCCCGCAAACGAGTGATGATCTCCCGGTAATCTCGCGTCTCCCTCCCGGTCCTCAAATAGGCATCGTCGCGCAGCCTTCTCACCACCTCCCCCCACCTCCCCACCGCATCTCTCCTCAGACACGTCGTGCGCGCGCACCTTGTCAATCACCATCAAACCCCCACCTCTCCTGACAGTCTCCTGACCAATGTGAGAGGAGTTTACTCGTACAAGACTTGTTTTAGCTCTTTTGGTCCGATTAGAAACTTTGCAATGTGAAAGCGAACCGCTCCAAGAGCAAAGAGCAACAATGTAACATTTGTAATCTCTGTTTCGGAACAACTGAATCGATTCACAGGTGTGAAAGCACCCTTGGACAACCTTAATTTACACTTCTCACACGGCGAAAAGCAGGGGAGTTCTCGAGACCTACCTGAGCTCGAACTCCCCTTTCGCCCTTCTAACGGAAGGAAGCCCCGGGCTCGAGGATATTACGAGCTCAGGGCTCTCTCCCGGGACAGCATGCCAAATACCCTTTATTGATTATCAGCTGTGTGAACTCTTGAAATGCACAGCATGTCAAACCTTGAGGCAGATGGGCTACAGCAGCAGAAGACCACACCGGGTGCCACTCCTGCCAGCTAATAACAGGAAACTGAGGCTACAATTCACACAGGCTCACCAAAATTGGACAATAAAAGATTGGAAAAACGTTTCCAGGTCTGATGAGTCTTGATTTTTGTTACAACATTTGGATGGTAGGGTCAGAATTTGGTATCAACAACATGAAAGCATGAACCTATCCCGCCTTGTATCAACGGTTCAGGCTGGTGGTGGTGATGTAATGGATTGGAGCACACTTTGTGCCCATTAGTACCAATTGAGCAGTGTGTCAACGCCACAGCCTTCCTATTGTTGCCTATTGAGTATTGTTGCCTACCATGTCCATCCCTTTGTGACCACAGTGTACTCATCTTCTGATGGCTACTTCCAGCAGGATAACGCACCATGTTCTAAAGCGCAAATCATCTCAGACTGGTTTCTTGAACATGACAACGAGTTCACTGAACTCAAATAGCCTTCACACTCACGAGAACTCAATCCAATAAAGTACTTTTGGGATGTAATGGAATTAAAGATTCGCATCATGGCTGTGCAGCCGACCAAAATGGACCAAAATTTCCAGTACCTTGTTGAATCTACGCCACGAAGGATTAAGGCAGTTCTGAAGGC